GGGGAAATCTTCACATCCCCCTCTTCATTGCACATCATTGTTCTTCACCAAACTTCAAACAGTGTGGATTTTAACTGGAATAGACAACAGGCTGGAGAAAGACATGCTAGATTGCCCCCTAAATTGTCTGTGCAAAATCTCCCTTTTAAAATGTGTGTTAAAATGCCTCCCTATACAGTATTTTCATCTAAAGACCCAAGATATGAATATATGTGATGTTCCTGGGAGTTGGGGGAGGAGTGTCATTTCCTTTTATGGAATTTAAAGCGTGAGAAAGAGCTGAGCATAGGACAGCAAGAGAATATTTACATTACTTAGGTAATAATGACATATACTGTACTTATTTGATAGTCTTGCCTTATTGACAGGTATAACATGCCACTGATTTGAATAATGTGTGTGAGAACTGGTCACAGCTAATTAGACTACATGACTAAGCTGTGCTCTCATAACATAGTATTAACACACACAAAAATGGTTATATGCATAAATTCTTAGAAATATTGGGGTTGTTTCTCTCGTCCCACATTTAAGTTGGGGGAAGAGCGACAAATACAGTGGATATATATATGGTGGTTCCTCAGCATTCCTCTGCTCAGTGGGAAAACTGCATTCCCCCTGTCCCTGCCCACAGTGTCTGAGGGTAAACAGACGGTAACTCAAAGGCAAGATGTAGTGAATCTTCCTTTTCAGTACTTTACACACCCAGTTTCAGTTCTTACTACAGACAATTCATACAAGTCTCAAGATATGCCTAAGACTTGTCATAGAGGTAATGGCCATATTACAGAAAAGAGTAGTATATGGAGCAGCCTCAAGGCCTTCGCTTCAAGCATGCTGCTTCAGTGGTCCTAACCCTGCCAGCTTCTGATGATTCTGTTGTTGCCAAGGACCTGTGTAGCTGGCATCCAACAGGATGAGCATGTATCTGGGATTAGGGGAAGTCTTCTACCTTTCCTTGGAACATCTCCCACATTTCACTATAGGCACTAAGTGGCCCAACCATTCTGTATACAGGCCCTGGACATTTGTTCCAGTCGCTCCATTTCTTCTTCTTTTCCATTCTCTATTTGAAGTGTACTAACCTTTAAGTGTGTGTAGAAATTCCCTAAGCTGCAACAGACACGGCACTCGAGCATCTTGTCATCATTGTTGTGTGCGTAGCGCAGGGCTTTCTCAAAACATTCCAAGGCCTTCTGGAAGACACTGAGGCCAAGGTACGCGTTGCCCATGCTAAGGCTGACCTGCCCATTCAGCTGCAGGCTCACGGTAGTGCCTTGCATGTTGAGGCAGGTCTTACAATAGGAAATGGTCTTTTGGAATTCACAGAGTTTCTCATTGCTCCGCGCCAGATTCAGGTAGCTCTCCATTAGGTAGTCAGGGTCCTCCAACTCCCGGGCAGTGTCGATCTGCACAACTGCAAACTTTTAGCAAGAGAACAGAACATTTAAGAAGCATCAAGTCTGGCACTAGAAATCGACTCTGAGTTATTCCAGGAAGCGCTAACCATCCACATGATGCATCATGAAGCACAGAGTTAAGAACACTCTAAGACAGGGGTCTCAAACTCAATTTACCTGGGGGCCGCTGGAGGCAAGAGTCTGGGTGAGGCTGGGCCGCATCACATTTTCCGCCCAGCAGAGAAAGAGCCTGAGGAAGCCACCCAGGAGTTTCCTTAGCCTGGGTGGGGTTCCGAGGAGGAGGAGGAGGGGTGCGCGAGCCCTCGTCACCAGCCACAACTCCCTCCGGCTCCTTCTTCACTACCACCACCACCACCAGCAGCAGCAGGATGAAGAAGCAAAGAAGGGAGGGAGCGCCGGTGACCACCTTGTGAGGGGGTAGGAGGGCACGACATAAAATTTAAAAAACCCCTCACAGAATTGCCTTGCCAAAGGAGAAAAGCCCTCATTGGTACTCATGAAATTAAACAGAACAGGGTGGGGCCCCCACAGGTGTGTGTGTGCGCACACGCAAACACACACAGGTCTGGCAACCTTCCTCTGAGGTCCCCCCTCAAAAACGGCGCACTCAGCAGCAGCAGCTACCCTCACCATGACAGAGGAGCAAACTTTGTTAGGCGAGCCCAGGCATCCTCCAGAGCTGAGGCGGCTGAAGCACAACGAAGAGGAGGAAGGGGAGGAAGCACCACCGGGCGCTGAGGTGGCTGCTGGCCAGGCTGGTGCTGGGGGTGCAGAGAGAGAAAGAGAGCCAGAGAGCCACTTCTCTTGAAGAGGTGGTGGCAGCTGCTGTTGGTGGCCTGGAGGCGCTCTTCGAGGACGGGCCAGGAGTGAGCTCCACTTTCAAGCATTGCTCGGCAGCAGCTCAGGCGCTTGGGGAAAAGGGCTAGTAGCACATCTCGCTTGCCGGCTCTCCCCCAAGACAGCACCTCTTGCACCCTCCATCCAGAACTGCAGCCTGCCAGCCGGCCGAACCGGCAGTTGCGGATGGAGGGGGCAAGAGGTGCTGTCTTGGGAGACAGCCATCGAGAGAGGTGAGGTCTTTTTTTTACTCTTGACAGCAGAGAGGCTCTTCGGGGGGGGGAGGCAAGGTGGGGGCCACAAATTCTCATCTGGTGGGCAGCAAATGGCCCCCGGGCCGCATGTTTGAGACCCCTGCTCTAAGAGATAAATCTACATCTGGATGGAAATATAGATCCTAATCTACTTTCTGCACAACCACCCTGCCCCAAATTATGCTGACCCAGTACATAAAGCCCAGAAGTGGTGGTTTCAGCAGATATAGGTAGACTGAAAACCTTCTCAACAGAGTTCTTACCCCATGTGTTGGTTGGAGCTGAAAAAAGGATGCAGAATGAAATAGAAGGCAGGGAACCTCTGTCCACATCATAAGTCATCCCCAGTCATTAGACACATTCTGTTTTATACACTTAATTATTCCATGGAGAGGCAGTGTGGTAGAGTTGATAGACTGCTGGAGCAAGACGCAGGAGACTTGGATGCTCAGCCATAGAAACTCTGTGGCAATGATTACACTACTCTTTAGATACCTTACATGTTGGGTTAATGTAGGTTTCTTGCCTGGCCCTTCCATCATCTCCCACTCTGTAGCTTTTGGGCTTGTAGGTGTCCCAAACTAATTCAAATCATATTGGTGGTCATTTGGGTGGCATGTTTGGATTAATCTTTTTATCTGAATAGAAATTAAACATGGTAAAGGCAAAAAGATTAATCTGCTGCTATAAAAGGGCTGGGCAATGTTTCAGGCCTCAAGAACCATTATGCAGTGCAATCTGGTGGGGCAGGGGTTACATCTCCCTTATTGCCTATTGATTGCTATAGTGGATCTTAAAATGCCTTCCAACCATACCAGTGCTTCAAAGGAGGCTGCTGGAGAAACAAGAACCCCAGCAGTATCAGGATTGCATTGGCACTTCTACCCCAGTGACTCCCAAACTTGGGTAAGCTAGGTGTTCTTGGACTGCAACTCCCAGAAACCATAGTAAGCACAGCTGGTGGTGAAGGCTTCTGGGAAGTGCAGTCCAAGAACACCTGGGTTATCCGAAGTTGGGAACTACTGTTCCACCCCACAGCAACGGCTACTAATACAGAACTTGAATAAGTTACTTTGCCTCCATGGTACCATGTAATTAAGGAAAATGAGTGGTTCCACAGATGTTTTTGAACTATAATTCCCAGAATTCCTCCCTATTGATCCTGTGACTGGGGCTTCTGGGGGCTGTCATTCAACAGCTGAAGATGTCCTGGTGCTATATCCTTTTCTCTGCTTTATCTTCTTAATTGTGAGCTTATTTACTTCCAGACAGTCTACTGTGCTTTGCGTGTAGCACTCCTGGGGACTTAAGTTTCATCACCATGTTTGCCGGTGTTTTACCCACCTTCCTTAAGATTGGGATTAATATGTAGCAAGGTCCCTGGGATCCAGGCTATAAGAAGCTCCCTTCAGTTCATAATGCGTACTCATCATGTGGATCTTTTGCTTGAGGTCTCTCCTTTAGGTGGAGCAATATCTTTTTCAAGATAATTAATGTCAGTTTCTAAACTTGATTCAAAGCAAATAATTAACTGCTATCTTGACAGGAGATGGGCTGGGGGTGGTGGATTTTTCTTCCACTGACCATTCACATCTCTTGCCTTATCATACAGAAACACTTAGTGAGACTTTCTGTTTATAAATTGTTTATTTCCTTAAGGCTCTCCAAACTTAGCACAGGCCTCTTTATTTAGACTTTGAAGTATTCAAGGCAAGAGCTGTATCATTTTCAGTCTCTTAATGAAGTATGTGTTATCTCTGAATATTAGCAATTTTAAATCTTTAAGAAATTATTTTCTCATTTAAAAATATTTACAAGCTATTTTACAATTTATGCCTTGTTCATTTCTCTGAACCTTTAGCAGCAGTTTCATTAATTATCTTCAAAAATTGCTATAAATATTTTGATAATTTGGTACATCATTCACGTATCTTCAGTTTTCCTTACAATAACATTTATGCATCTACAATTATTGATGTTCATAAAAATATTCCTTTTTTGTAAAGAATTCTTTCTTGCTCTCTTTTTTGACATTAAGCACCACCAGTCTTCCAGGGTGTCCAGGGACCCTCTCCTGACTGGTTTTGGATTCTAATGATTTGTTACTAGTCACCATCTTAACTGAATATGATAGACCTGTATTCCAAAACATCTGAAGAGCACTCTGTTAGGGAAGGCTACCAAAGAAGGTCTTAAGCATAATACTTCATTTGTGAAGGCTTGTGATCAAAGTGAAAAGCAGCATATAAGTGCATGCAGCAGAGCTTGGGAGAGAGGGCAGCTTGAGGAAACTGTTCTGAAAATAACCCCCTTCCTTTTCATTCTTGTTACCACTGCATAGCTTGCCTATTCATTCTTTCCCTACAGGCCCAAGGGATCGTCTGAAGTTACTAGATGGTGAGGGCAAGATGAATTGAGGCAGCGCCTTCTGTTTGCCAGTCTGGAACTCTGACTCTTGGTGGATGGAGGAGAGGCATTGATGAGACTGGTACAGTGTGCCACTCCTAATTTTCAAAGCAGAATGTTTCTGGGCCACTGTGCATGGATGAAAACCTGCCTCCTCCTTATCAAGCAATGCATCACACTCAACAAGCATCTGGTTGCCATCTCAGGAGGCCTGCCAAGGACCACCAAGTCAAACCCTGAACAGCTCTGAATACCTTAAATTATTTCTTCATCTGCAAATTTGTGTACCTGTCTGTAGATCATTCATAAGTTGATTTATTTGTTTAAAAGTTTGATAATATTGTATTATTACTATCACCATTACCACTAATAATTTTAAGATATTCAAAAATCTTACATTCTTTGAACCAAAGTTTTATCTTTCCAGTCTTGTTTTGCAAATGTCAGTTTAGGTACTGGTGTACTCCATCTTGAGTCTCTATAAATGCTCAGACCAAACCTCTATGAAGGCTTCCAGTCAACATTACATCTGCAAAGAGGGTTCTCTAGTGTTTTTCCAAAGGGACCCACTGGATTACACTGGGTGTTTGTCAAAAGCATATTTACAAGTACCCCATCCACCCTGGCACCCCTACCTGTTTGCGTAGCACTTTCACAACACCCACTATGACATTCAGAAGAGATAATGGACAGTGGCCATTAAGAGCCAGGAAGAGACTATTCCAGTCTGACCCTAACCATGGACCACTAAATTGCCTTTCAGAAGACATTCATATTCATCCTTGCTCCCACCCCCTGGAACAATGCATAACAGGAAATAAGCTTTGGGTCCAACTTAGCATATATTAAGTCCTTTAAATGCTTAGGAAAGATGCTATAGGGGGCTCTACTCCTAGTATCAAACCAATGATATTATCATTTGGCAGCCATATTGTATACATATTGCTAAATTATAATGGTAATAAACAAAGGAGTACTGACTATTGTTATCTTGTTGATGACTGAACCCAAGGATAGCCACAGGTATTGTCTTCTGAATCACACAAAGATAATCTGATGTCCAAGCACTGCACTGCAAAATTGATCAATTACCAAAGTTGGAAATATCAATGCACTCCCAACAATCAATGAGCAGAACATCTTGTGACTAGAAGGGAAATGAAGAATAGGAATTTAAAAACCTATGCAACTGGTTAACACTTGTACTTGAGCATTTCAGCCAAATCCCAGCTCACGCTATATCTGGTATTTTAAGGTAGAATGTTCCTCAAAGCTTACCCTTTTCCACCCCCATATTCATCATGTAAGAGAACAAAAAGAGCATGCATTCAGTCAAGACCTCTTTACCTTCAGCATATCTTTGTACCTGCCCATCTCTGAGTGAGCAGTGATGAGACATCCCAGCACTCGAAACCTGCCAGCAGGATCTGTGCTCTTTTCCAAAACTCGCAACCAGACCTGAAGAGCCTTTTCTGTCTGGTTGGACTGATAAAGTTGGAGTCCTTTTTCTATCTGCTGCTTTGTCTGGTCCTGCCCCATCTCCTTTAGGCTCAAAAGCTTCATATACCAATCTTTCAGGAGAGCAGACAGGTAAGAAGTCAAAAGGAAAACAACAACAACACACAAATGTGTACTAAAACCAGGTAGATTGCATGATGTGGATGTTTCCGGGCCCCAGGAGTCTCAGACGATTTGGAACACAGGAATGTCAATAAGAGATGGCAAGCAGGGGCATCCAGGTGTTAGGACAACCAACCTCACCGTCTAAGCTAGCATCTTGTTTGCAGCGGTCCTCTGAAAGGTTTTTATAGCCAAGATCCATGGAAGACAAAAGGAGGGGAAGACAAAACCAAGCACAGAAAAGAAAGAAGCCCTCTCAAGTGGTTGGAGTGAAATTCTATCAGAATGGCCCCTCCTGGGCCCAGCCCCTCCTCTCCCCTGGTGACAGCTGTGACCGCCAATCCTGGCCACATGACTTCACAGGAATGTCAGTCTTGGTTAACTCCCAAGGTCAGAAAGCAAGCCAAAGCTGGGCCTTGTCCTTCCCTGCTTGCAACTTTTATAAATACACTGAAGGAGCCACAGCTTCTTGCTTTCAGCATAGTTCAAAGCAAGGGCCTGTCTCCCGCAAGCCTCCTCTGAGCTAGCACCTGGATCTATGTGGAATAAATGTATGCTCGTTAGTGTCAACCGGTTCCCCCCCCCAAAAAAAAATCTATTTTCACACCGATTGGGTTTTAATGTACAGTGTCCAACCTGGAAAAAAGGCCTTGAGGTTGTGGTGGATAGCTCAGTTAATGCATCAACTTGGTCTAAGTTAGCTGCAAAAAAAATCTAAGTTGGTTCAAGGGAAGAGTAGGAGGGAGAAATATACTATAGTAATGTGATGCAAATCCATTTGGACCACTGTCATCTTTTCAGTCATCCCATTTCAAGAACAATATCGCAGACCTGGAAGAATATACAGAAAGTTCCCTTTCCTACAACCAAAAGCATTTAGAGCTTTTTAATGCGGAAGAAGGTATGCCCGAAGGGGAAACCATCATAGAGTATGATGAAATTATGAATGGTGTAGGCAAAAATGGAGCTAGTCTCTCTGGAACAATGGATTGGGAGCAGGAGGAACAACTGGTGAATTGTTACTGCCTCTCATTTTACAGCACACTGAGCTCAAGGCACCTCCCAGCAGCAGTAACTGGCATGGCCCCACCCTAGGAAGGCCCATTTCCTGATCAGAGCAAGCTGCAATTAATCTGTGACTTCCACAGCTGGAGCGCTGAAGTGGCTATTTGATAACACAACTTATTTTAATACCATGAATCTTATTAAGCTCATAGGAAGGAAGGAGCTTAAAGGGAACTTACTAAGCTGCTTCTTAGAAGAATGCGGCTTCTATGTATGTGGGGAGGAAAAGGAGAGAAGGTGTATTCACGCTACACAGTAGTAACTCCTTAATTCCCTTTTAACTGCCATGGTTCCCTCTGCGGGGGTTCATAATTTGGTGAGCTGTTCAGAATTCTGTGCCAAGGGTCCCCCTGATCTACCAAGAATTCTAAGGCCCTCAACAAACTACACAGCCCAGCAGTCCATAGGATGGAGCCATGGCAGATAAAGTGAAATCAGAATGCTACAACTGTGTAGTGTAGATACACTGAGAGGCTCAATGTTCATTTGGGGGCCGTATTCTCTTTTCCATCTTTAAATTTACTGAAGTAAGGCAGAGAAGTAGAAACTCATTTGCGCACAGAAAAGATCCAGCCTATTGGAGATACAAACAAGGAAACAGGCCAGTGAACTATGAAACCTGTCAGGAACAGGCATGTCGCCCTAAGCAGGGTTATTGCTATTCCTGTGAGTATAATAATTCTATTCTTGTACTTTTCAGTTTGGGGCAAATTATCAGCTAGAATGAATGCCATGTTATATGCATGAGAGAGTAAAATTTTACTTGAGTGTTTCAAAGGGCCACCACATTATTAAATGTAGAACAAGGAAAGAAAACGTGTGTCCCATCAGATGCTGATGATCTAGGGCTCCTGTCATCTCTCGCCATTAACTAGGGCCGACAGAAATGGAACATCATCTGCAGGGTCCTCATGTAAGAGTCTGGAAGAAATGGTATAAGACTGCATTTGCCATACCTACCCTCACAAATTCTTTTGTTTTAATGGCAGACTGTGTAGCGAGATGGCCCTACGCACATACAGAGCACATCATTTCAATGTGTCACAGAGACAAGTAAGAGTTCTTTTTCTTTTTTGGGGGGGGTAAGAATTTGGGATGGGACTTTTAAAAAATGGAAAGAAACATGAAAGAAGCCCTTTTGCTTTCAGGTTCTTCTTGTCAATAATACAGTGGGGTCTTGACTTGAGAACTTAATCCGTATTGGAAGGCGGTTCTCAAGTCAAAAAGTTCTCAGGTCAAATCGGCATTTCCCATAGGAATGCATTGAAAACCATTTGATCCGTATCTGCTCTTTTCCGTCCATAGAAACTAATGGGAAGTTGCTATTCCGCAGAGGGGGATATTTTGTTTCTTTTTTTCTTAGGTCAAGAAAGGTTCAGGGAAGGCAGGGAAAATACAGTCCAGGCAGTACAGTACCAGGCAGTCCGAAGACTGTCTCCCAATCCACTCTCTAAACGCTGGGAGGAGTGAGGAAGCAGACAGGCACCCTTTTCACTGGCCAACAGTTAACTGAAAGTTCACATTTTGCACTTTCCCTGCCTCCCATGTGGGTTTTTTTCAGTTTGTAACTCAAATCTAAGTACTTAAGTCAATATTTTCCTATGAGAGCGGTTCTTAAGTCAAAATGTTCTTAACTCGAGCTGTTCTTAAGTCAAGACCCCACTGTAGTAGTAGTAGTAGTAGTAGTAGTAGTAGTAGTAGTAGTAGTAGTAGTAGTAGTAGTAGTAGTAGTAGTAGTAGTAGTAGTACTTTTGCCTTGGTTATCCATATATTCTTGTTAGATGTTATTATTACACACATATATGATTTAAAAATTAAATTAAATGATTAAAACATGAAAATATGGAAAAGATTAAAATTATTTGCTGAAATGGGGTTCAGGAATTCAGTTGTAATTGTTAAAAGCCTGCCTGAAGAGATGGGTGTTTAGCTTTTTTTCGGGAGCATAAAAGGGAAGGGGCCATCCTGATCTCCCGAGGGAGAGCGTTTCATAGCCTGGGAGCTGCCACTGAGAAGGCCCTCTCCCGTGTCCCCACCAGCTGTGCTTGTGTTGGCAGTGGGACTGAGAGGAGGGCCTCCTCTGCTGATCTTAATCACCGAGAAGGCACATATAGGGAGATACGGTCCTTTAGGTAGCCTGGACCCAAGTTGTATAGGGCTTTATAGGTAATGACCAGCACTTTGAATTGGGCTTGGAAACGGACTGGTAGCCAATGCAGTTCTTGTAACGGGTGCTTTATATACTCCCTGTAGTTGGCCACAGTCAGTAGTATGGCTGCAGAATTTTGCACCAGCTGGTTTCTGAACCATCTTCAAAGGCAGCCCCACATAGAGCATGTTACAGTAATCCAAACGGGATGTAACTAAGGCACATGTCACTGTAGCCAGATCCGACATCTCTAGTAATGGGCACAGCTGGAGCTGTATAAAAATACATGGAATATGAGAGAAGGCAAAAATTGGCAGATTCAGTCATCCAAAGGACTTTGAGTGCTTAGCTCCTGGTTTTTTTTTCAAACATGTTTGGAGTACAGAACTAGATATCTCTTCTTTATCAGACACATCCTCGTGTCTGGAGTAGTTGTACTATCCCGGTGTGGTGTCACGGAAAGAGTGATGGACTCAGGAGGCCCAGGTTTGAATCTTCGCTCTGCTATGCAAGCTCACTGTGGCAATGGAACTGGTAAAACCATTCTTTACATACTGCACTTACCTTGAAGGTCCTATTAGAGACACTGTAAGTCAGTTCCAACTTAGCATCACATAACCACAACAAATTGAATTTGGGTGGCTGGGAATTATGATTCCACACATACACACGCCGGTACCTGGCTGTGGAGTCAGAGATTGGGAGTTTGATTAACCACCGTACATTCTATACCAGCCAGCCTGTGAAGCTTTGGGCAAATCAGAGTAACCCCAGATGAAGGAAATGATAAAATATTTCTGAGTATTCTATAGAAAGCCCTGGAAAAGGCTGCCATAAAGTTGGAATCAACTTGACAGCAAGTAATTATTATTTATTATTAATGTGAAAGAGCATGAACACTGGAGGAAGTGACATAGAAAGTTAGTGAAGACATGAAGAAAAAGAACTGAATGTGGGGGGCGGGAAGAACTCACAGAAAAGTGAAGGAGGCTGTTTAAAGGAGGTTGCTATTGTGGTCTTGTAGAAAATGGAGGGAAAGCATTATTATTCTGTTTTATATGTGGAACTATGGTTGGGAAAGGGAGATTTGTTTGATGGCAGTTACCTCATGACAGAGGCCCAAGTTTAAGGTCATGTATTGCTGGTACTAAAATCTATCTCCTTGTGAAGATTGGAACGTTTTCCTCAGTCTTTGCTCTGTACCTTTAAATAAGGATGGGCAATATGTGGCCCACATGCAGCCTCCAGGAACCCTGGGACGTAACAGCACTTCTATATCCCCATTTTTAAATAATATATTTTTATTGAAAACATTCAAAATTTAAATTTAATTCAAAAAGTCTAATTGGCCTCTGAAGAGTGCAAGGGTGTTTTTTTTTTCAATTTAAAAACAACCATTTATGTAAAAACACATCAGAGTGGGGGAGTGGGTTCAAATGGCCTCTGGAACGTGTTTGCACCTGCTTTAAACAGAAGCCTATATGAAATTATTTGTACGCTATTGGTAAGGAAACTTTTCTTGCCGATTTCTGAGTTAAGCTGTCTGAGCCGGTTTGTATTGCTTGGCAACACAGAAACATGCATACTTCATTTCTAAATGTGATCCACATGCTGTTGCTTTCAGAGTATATGCTGTATAAACCGTATAGCTTAAGACATTGCAGCATTACTACATTTCTTTGACTGAAATTATGTTTGATGTAGTAAGTCACAATTACAGTATACCCATTGAATCAGCAGGGATTTGGTGAATCATCTCCTCCGTAAGTTGATTTCAGTGCACTAACTCGAGTTACAACCTCTTACACTAAGCAATAGGATTTCAGCCACGTCAGAAGGCAGCACAAGTGTTCTTCTGTAATTATGCTGCTATTAATCTTCAGCTTAACCTCAAACCTACATCTGGGTTGTGAAATTTAAACATGTGAGCAGAAAAAAGAGAGGTTACTTACCTGTAACTCCGGTTCTTTGAGTGGTCATCTGTGAATTCACACTAATGGGTTTAAGCTGCGCTTGCGTGGAGGTCTCCAGAATATTCTAGAGCTAAAACATGCATTCGCTAGGACCGCCCCCTCCACACACGTGGTCCACTTGTCCTGGCAATTACCTCAGTTCCCCAAAGCCACCGCTGGTCAAAGAGTGAGGGGATGACGGGCGGGAAGTGTGAATTCACATATGACCACTCAAAGAACCAGAGTTACTGTATAGGTAAGTAACCTCTCTTTCTTCTTCGTGGTCTCTGTGAATGCACACTAATGGGTAATTAACAAGCTTACCTTATAAGTGCAGGGACGTCATGGCAAAACTGGAGACAATACTGCACATCTGAAGACCGCATCTGCCTTGGCACATACGTCCAATTGATAGTGGGATGTGAAGGTCGATGGGGCTGACCACGTAGCAGCCCTGCAAATATATGGAACCAGGATGCCTCAAAGAAAAGCTGTGGAGGTGGCCAGTGCCCTGGTGGAGTGAGCCTTGACATTAGTAGGGAGAGGCTTCTGGGGAAGCTGATAAGTCAGACGTATGTTCTGCACAATCCATCGTGATATGGTTTGTGGCAGGGATCTCAAGCTCAACTTACCTGGGGGCCACTGGAGGCAGAGTCTGGGTGAGGCTGGGCCACATCAGGTTTTCCACAAGAAAAGCTTTGTTAAAAAAATCCCAATCTTCTCAAATATCTTTATTTTTATTTTTTAACACATAAGATGAAAAAATAAACAAATTAAGAATAAGAAAATAAATCA